AGTCAGTTGTTTCTTCCAACTTTCGCCAAATACTAGAAAGTTTTCTTTGGGTTACTGCTGAATACCATAAGAGTACATGCATTGTTTAAGTCACTATAATTTTTCAAAAAACCCATGAATTTATTTAAAATGTTGCAGGTAGTTTTTTTACTAACAACTTCAACATGCTAGCATTGTTTAAGTATATAGCCTATACATCCTTAATGAACCAGCGATATCAATGCTGGGCACTGATGGATAGTAATAAATATTAATACAACAATTTGTACGCTGACCATTGTTATCCCAACATTACATGTAAAGTAAAATTAGCAGTCTTAATAAAATTTTCTAAAGAACATAATTTGATTAATAAATAAACAATAATTTGATTACGTAGGATTGTAGAGGATCAACTCTTATTGCTCATAATGTGAATGTACATAAAATAGCATATGTTAATTATTAACATTTTCAAATAGGCGTATAAATTTTCGTGTATATGGAAACAAACTTACGCGAATTGGGCGTGTTATCGAACGGGTAACTGGCGACCAAAGCTCCGCCGTGTAGACTTCCGGATAGAACGAATTGGATTTTGGATACCCATTCCTTCACGGCCTCTGTTTCCGGTTGGCTCTTTTTGTTGTTCTGTTTGAAGTAATCTGGGAAATTACGGTTCAAATCGAAACCACGCGCATTGTACCTAAAATGATTATAAGCTTTACAAAATTATCTCGAGATACGAACTATTTCACGTTAAATGCATTTCGTAAAAAACGGGCGATCTTACCTGCCTTGGCCACCCTCGCAGTATCCTTCCTTCGATACTTCGAAACCGTCCGGATTCATCGATGGCAGTATATGAATTCTGGTGTTATCTAAAAGCCATGTAATGTACGGTTCCGTTCCATAGTTCGTCACCAGAGACTAAAAGTAACAAGTACAACAGTGAGTATTGTAATATAACAAAAAATGTGAACAATAGACAAAATAAATATTGTACAACTGAACTCACGTGAATCAGATGCAGCATTAATTCACGACCCACAGCTTCATTCCCGTGTATGTTCGCCACGTACTTCACGTCCGGCTTGCCGATCATATGCTCGTACGGCGAGGAAGACACTACCATCACCCATAAATCTCGACCTTTTATAATAAACAAAATACGCCTGCGTTCAATTATCCTCATTAATGTTACACAATTATTAACACTCGGTATAAATAGTTGAGAAAATATATTATGAAAAAATGAATTGGAATACCTTTTACGGATTTTCCTATGGAGTACAAGGCGGTAAGATTTTGAAACCTAAGCGAGGTCGTGCGTAGAAATTGGCTCATTTGCTCGTAATTGTGATAAGTGAAGTCGATACCGTACGGTTGCTCTTCGTATACGTGAAAACGGGCATTGTAGTGGCCTGACGATGCAAGATCTTTGTTAACATGCTGTGAGGCGGCCTCGGTCTCGCCAAGAAACGCTCTCAGGGTGAAAACGAATAGGAAGATCGGCGTGTACATTTTTCTGTATAATTAAACAATAACGTACTGTTACGTATTATTTTTTATATTATGTTATTTGCTCGTTCATCTATATGTAATGGATAACAAATATTTTGTTGGAAACGTGTGAAAAGAGAGTACATCTGTACTGCGGTGAAAGTGGAGAGTCTAAAAGAGTTAAACGAATTATATACCCATCGTGAATTGATTCGGGTGATTCTATTGAAATAAATTGTTCAAATAAATTGTTCGCGAAACTATTGCTTTATAACTGCACTTGGCAAAGGTATGTATATAGATAATAGAGAAAATTACTGTGAAAACGATACACATTCGTTGCACTCCCGCGCGACGCGATAAAATCAGATCAAGGCTTTGTGTCCCTTCTGTCTAAATTACAATGAACCCACTATAATCTGCATAGTAGGAACTAAAGAAAATTGCCGTACGTTCCTATACTCTCGTACGGAAAGTAATAATTTTTATGCAGATGAAGATAGGTGAAAGATTCGTTTAAATTATTTCCGTTCAGTGCGGATCGATTCACGACGATAGGAGTTATAACGATTACATATTTAAAACGTACTCTGGAGTCGACTGAAGTGTTGATCTAAAGATATATGCACCCGACTACGGTAGAAAAAAGGAATTGGGTTACAATTATTGGGCCGAGACGAAATTAGTCGGTCGATCAATCAGCGAATATACCGTTTTCTCTCTACGCGTATTAATAAAATCCCAGCGAAGGTTCTAACGGTACATTCTTAACGACGGAAATACCGATTCATTTAATTATTCAACTTTCCTTATATATTCCGCTATCTATGAGTTACTGAATTTAATCAATTGGTCTAAAATTATTTTTAACACTCATCATTCAAGGAAAGTCTATGTATAACGTGTTTATACAAATGTTACATCGATTTTATGTGTGCAATATATTCGAAGAAAGGAAGTTATTTCACAAGCAGGAACAAAGTAATTGGATAAGTGAAAAAAAAAATACTTGGACGTAAGAGGAATTATCTGGTTTCGAAGAATAGGAATGAAGAAATCCGACAGGGATTATACAACGCGTATTATCCAATGTTTAAACAATTTAGGAGAAGAAGTTACGTACCTGGTCTGTTAGAGAGAGAATCGAGTCGTAGTTAACGTTGAAGGAAACTGGCCTCGAGATCGAAGAGATCCAAGTGGAATAATTTCGTAAAATCCAAATTACAATGGTTGCGAAGAAGAGGCACTTGTTGCGACGAACGTAAAAAGATAAGGAAAGAGAACTCAATGGCGGAGAGAAATCTGAATTCCTCAGACGTGTCTTTTCTTTTTCATTGAGAATCTGGTACACTGTTAACGGTAGCAGGGCCGAGGCCGTCACTCGCGTATCCGATCGAATACATTTGAGCCTTTCCCTACACACATATAAATTCAAAAACGATAAACAAAGAAACGAAGTTGTACACTAACTAGAATGATGCGGGCCAGATTACATTTTTACTGTAAAAACAGATTTCACCGTAACACGATAAGAACAATATGATACAACAAACAACGCTGAGCGATGACTAAAGTGGGAAGTATAAATTAATATATTTGAATCGTATTATAGCGTCTTTTATAAGATCACTATTGCGTTACGACGCGTACATACCAAGTATGCCATCGGTTCAGGTGTACTCAATAGACAGACAGACACGTGTAGCCAGCGGATACCTTTTATTCGATTTCCAAATAAAATGTATTATATTTTAGTTAATCAGATATGATAATCGTTTAACAATCGAATTCCACGTTATTTTTTATTTATTGGGTGTGTGTTAAATTATGTTTAATTGTTTTGTAATTGCGAAATGATATTAAATATTTACGTGATATAAATTACTCCGTAAGTTTCCGAAGTTGATTAAGATATATCAAGGAAGATTGAATAATTACAATTTGACGGTCCGAGTTAGTATAACGGATGTCCGAACGACGAAAAGGCACTCGTTACACTAAAAGACGTCTTTCTCTTTTTAAATTATCTTCGAACCATCCTCGAACGCTCTTCGATTTACTGATTCAATCCTTGTGTATACACGATGTTAAAGAGAAAACTGAATTGTGAATAATGAAAATAAGAAAATCTGTTTCACCTGCAAGCCGTGCGTGACACACACTGGATCTACGAAAGGAGAAGAGAAGAGAGAACTTTACAAAAGAGAGGCGCGAAGTGTGCCGCGCCGCGCGTTCGACTACCACCACACCATCCGCTACCAGTACCGCTACCGACACTGACTAACCACTACCAATACCAACGAAGCCCACTTCCTTCGCGGTGCTCTAGAACTCTGCCGCGCTGCCTGGCTGACACTGTACCACTACCACTTTCGGCAAAACAATGAGTAACACACGAACGGTGTCATTCTGACCCTCCTCTCCACCCCTTCCTCGCCTCTTCTTTTCTCTCCTCTCCGGTACCTCATCAACTCCTCGTTGTCGCCCCGCTCCATCCCTTTTGAACACTTTCTACCTGGTTTGTAAGTACACACGTACCGCCGTTCTCCAAAACATTTGGTATCAAATATGTAGGGTAAACGTACTCTCACTTCTTTATTTTTGGCGACCGACTTACAATTATTAACAAAATTGAGCGCAATGATAGATGAATAGCCCGCCGATGTAAATCTAAGCTTTTATTCGTAAAAACTAGAGACTAAATTAAAATTTGCTTCACCTTCTATGTGTTCTGTATAAAATTTGCAGTAGTAAATTGAACTTAGTACACGCGCTATTAATGTGAGGAAAACATTTTACACATTTGTTCAAATATCTATTGCAATTTATTTTATCATCTGAATATACACTTTACTTTCAGTACTTTTCATATCTTCGAATATGTGTACATGTTGTTTTTGTACAATACTAAAATTTTTTATTACATACAATTTATTTAAATTAATATTATTACTTATTCATTTAATTAATTTAATTAATTTTTAGATTTAATATCTCGTCTATGTAATAATAAGAACGCTTTCGCTGAATCGGAAAATTGCAGGAAAACATCGATCACGCGTTTTGTTCCACTTACCCATTCTTTCCTCGGATTTGTACGAGTACGTCAGGCGCCACTTATTTAAGAGTCCCTCGTGTACTTACGTACAAGCTGTACGGTACAGCTACCCGACCTACGACGTCCGTATGCATGTGTTGCACGTATCCATATGTATAGTAATATGTAAGTAAGTACGTCGCGTTCCGTTTTCATATTTCGCCAAAGTAGGTTTCTCATTTTATGCCAGAGTTCCTCTCGCATATGCAGTTCGTTTGAAAAACAAAACAAGAAAATGAAAGAAATTTAAACTCGAGAACATCGAGCGTATTTGCCTGCTTGCATATATGTATGTATATGTGTGTGTACGAGAAAACCGGATTTCATCGAGTAAGAAAAAAGAAAATAGTAGTTATCATGCTCCTATTTCTTTTAGAATTTACCGAACAGTTCTGATTTCGTTTTCGTAAAATTGCTGGTAAAAGTGGAAGATTTTCTTTATTAAGATGCAATTAGTTGAATTAAAATAATAAGTTAAAAGATTTAACACGAATTCTGTATAAAATTATATTTCTTCTCAGACTATTACAATTACATCCAATGATCCAAGAACTAGTATATCGAAAAAGTATCGCAATATAAATGATAGGTGAAAATAGTTACGTCTACAACGTAAAAATAATTAACGATAACGCTACTAGTATAATTATAAATAACAAATGTAACTTATTTAATGAAACGAAACGTAGCAATGAAATTGCGCTTTCATTATTTGTATTGCATATTACATAGCCAATTGAATAAGTTTTAGTTTATTCAATTGTCTAAAACTTACTCAATACGATAAATATGTTATATGTATCACAAATCATCTTCCCTCAGAAAAGTTTCGTCTTGAGCGCGGCTCAATTCTTCTACTATACACACTTCTTTATTCGGAATCAGATTCCTATAACAAACATGTTTTATTATTGACACTAATTGTGCTTCATTTGAAGTTCTTTTAAGTTTTTAGTGTGTTGAAGCTCACCATGTACTGCCCTTCCACATAACGACCCGAATTTCGGGATGTTCTTCTTAATTCTCTTGGTTCTATTTGATCCTGACTTCGTCGTCTGTAAGGACGAAGTAATTAAAATTGTTAGGAAGATTGCACAACTTTTTATACTTTGTCACTTCACAATTGTTTTGCAATTTATAATACTTACGACCTCGATTGAATTTGCAATGTCTTAAGTTTGTTATCTATATCTTGAGGACTCGCTTCGTCTTCGATAATTGGCGTTGGGGATGTCTGTGCGGTTTCGTTGGTTTCATAGTATCCGGCTGCTTTAGGGGCACGCGTTATCGTTATTTTATTAACTGGTAATCTGAAATGAAAATGTGCACTAACAATATTATAAATGCTCAGCAATGTTTATTCACTAATTTTTCTCTAAATAAGTTAAATAAAATTTTCTATCTTCATTCTTGAATATTTTTTTCTATAATGAAGCATAAGAAAGAGATTTGAATGAATTACTCACGGGTGTTTCCTGGTGCCGCGTTTCTTCTTGTGCTTGCTGAAAGAAAAAGCTCTTATTGGTGGAAATACATTAGAATTAACGTCTCATAAATAAAGGGACAAAAATTTTATATTAAACAATACCGCAATTTTCACATACATCTTTTATGTGATATACGAAACATTCGTATATGTATGTATATTACAGAAGATCACGTACGTACTTAATTTAATAATACCACTACGTTTGAATGATAGACGTATAAAATACACGAAATTAACCCAAGTATCATCAAAATAAGATATCTACGAGTATTTATTCTAATTGATATATTGATATAACGATGAAATACGGTCTGTTAAATATGTAAATTGTATTAATAAAAGTAGTTTGAATATTTAAAGAGCAGGAGTTGTGAAACAACGGGTTAATTCTGTGAAACTTTCTGCAAATTGGCATTTCATAAGAAGACTTTTCAAAAGTGTAATGTCATCACTTAATTATTCGCGCGCGCGTTCTGGATAGAAAATTTTGATAAAGCGGGATCTAGGAGCTCGTGGAAGTAGAGGGTCTTATTTTAATTAATATCACATGTTCTTTGTATCTATCACCAATCTGTATATTATCAATATATGTATATAAACAGAATACAAATGTACTTTAACTTACTCGGTTTTAAAGTCTCTTAGGTTCAACAGAACACGCGCATCGTTTTCTATGTTTGTTACGTATTTATACTTTTGTCAGCTGTTTCAAAAATATAATCACTTTATATAGTTTCATCGTGCATTCTTTTGCATATATACTATATATTTTTACGCTAGTTTAGCAGGCTAAATTAGGCACCAAGAGTAACAGATTTGAAGAGTCGTAACAATCGTTCTTTGCATATTACAAGGGTAAGCGTTTGATTCGATACCTCGGCAATATTATATACGATTCCTTACGCTAGTTTCAGAAAGTCGATTTAAGATAGGCATCAACGATAAATATAGACCTCGATACTACCTTACAGAATTTTTGCCCCTTATACGAATATATTAATATAATATATAGATTTTCTTATAAACTCTGACTCTTAGCTTGAATAACGATCAGGTAGCCTGCAACAAGCGATTCGAAAAAAGATTACTACTCATGCAAATACAATTTTTGTACGTAACTTACGAGGTGGCCAATGGCTAAGTGCTTGCTATTGTAATAATAAAGCATAAACGTGCAGCAAATAAATGATAAAACCATTTACTATTTGTTTAATAAAAATAAGAAAGTTATAAGCATATAATATAATACACTCTATGCATTAAACGTAAAATCTCGCATTAAATACATTTTTGAATAAGTTAACAAAATTGTTTTACAATTATGAACATTGTTATAAGTATTTACTTAGGAATCGTCTTACGATTTCAATCTTTTATTGCGATAGGTATATATGATAATCTTTTAAGGCTTGTCAGTGCAGCACACTAAAGCAGAAGAAACAAAAAAAGAAAAGTCTTTTTCATTATAATTACACAATAATGTAATGCCAATTAATAAAAATTGAGCACATTCCATGTGCGCTTAAAGAACTACTTAAGCGCGTAAGTTTAGTAGGCAACATTTCTATAATTAATTAAAATACTTATCATTCATAGCATAAATCATAAATTTTAAAAGCATAAGTTAAGCGTGTTGCATGTGAAATATACTGCGCATGTATCTTAAGAGTGACGTACTCTAAAGAGGAAGAAGTTGTAAGAAACTAGTTGAGAATTTAGAGAAAATTCTTTACTAGGTGAATAATAGTCATAAAAAGATATTATATCAGATGTAATTCTAGCTTTTTGTGTCACTTTTGAAATACACACGTGATATGTTAAGATTACGGATTAATTTCATTAGAGACTTTTATTAACGTTTTGTAAAGGTGCAAATATAGTCTACGTCCATAATTACTTGGGTGAGTAAAGTATAAGAAAATTATTATTTTGTACTAATGTAATGCGGACACCCAACTCACCCAGGGAATTCATGGTCAGAACCTTCTTCAGGGTCATCAGCTTCTTCTTCTTCTGAAAACATTTACGATAAAGTATGAATTAAATTTGAAGAATAATTTACATTTACAAGCAGACGCAGCAGGATTTCGATAATTGAATGTACACATTCTTGAGTAATGATATCTATCTCTATATAATCGTGATTTGACAAAAATAATTATTTACTTTGAGAAGATTGTTTCGAAATTCTGCATATAAAAAGTTAAATAAAATATATAATATTTATAAATGTACCTAACGAAAATAAATGATCTTTCTTGCGCCTTGTATACGCGCGTTTGCTAGTTACTGGAACTTGATCCGTTTCACCGTGTAACAAGCTGTTCCTGTAGAGAAGTAAAGGTTGCCAATCCTCTCCACGTGAGGATGGCATTCCAGCTGGTAATCTTCTATCGAGGAAATTTAATCTGTAACACAATTACACATAGATTCAATTAAACACTTTGCTACATAACATTAACGTTTACTTACAGTCTCCTGGCTAAGTTAAAAAAAAAGCTAATTAACGCAGTATGTTGCTAAAACGAAGTTTTAAGTAGGATTTTACTTACACAACTCGTTTATCTTGTTTAAGAAGTTTGTTCGTGAATTCGGATAAGACTTCGAGATACGATAAATTAGGTGGTGGTCCGGTAGGATCTAGTTCGATACCGTCTGGTTGTGTGATTGCGAAAAGAACTCCCGCTCGATGCAAAGCGGTGATCGCTTCGCGATTTTTCACTGCATCTAGACCGAATGATAAAGCGAATCGTTTCGCGAGCTCCTGTAAATGATAATATTGATATCTTTCTTAGTATACAATCAATTTCATGTTTTTTTCGTGTGATAAAATATTTACGAGAATGTAATCGTACCTTAATAGCAGTAAATTCCTCGCTATTTCTATTGATTTTATCCTTCTCAGCCAATATTTCATTATACAAAATATTCAAACTGTGTTGCATGGTTAAAGCACAATTGGTTTTGTTAATATCCCTGGCTTTCCCTAGCGTGGTTTTAATAATATCACCGTAATCATTGTAATATTTCACATAGTGCTTGAATACGTCCGCCGCTGCTTTGGTCGGTATCATATTGTACACTATCAGCTTGCAATAACTAGCTAAAAAGTTTCGCCTTTTATGCAGTTCTTCAATTTTCGAATGTTCGTCATGCCCATCTATAAAACATAACGTTGCGTTAATACCGAACTCTGATAAAGACAGAAATGGACAAAGGATTAGTATAGACGTACCATCTTCTTCCTCGCAAAATACATATTCTTGAATAAATCGATTAAGCATGTTTTGCATCGCTTGATCGGGTTCGTACACTAAATGATACATTAGAGGATTCGAATGTGTCGTTAGTTGATTGCAAAACAATACTAACAAATCACATATTGTATTGTATGCTTCTTCCCTCAGTATCGGCGGAGATGACTAAAATGAAATAATTATCTGAGTTTTCTTCAGTAAACTTTCATAAGTCGTTTTGTACGTAAAACTAAAAATGATTTAAGTACCGTGCCATTTACATCGCCGCAAACAAAATGACGCATGGAGCCCATAAAAGAATGTAAACGTTCTTTTAATTGACGACATTCATCTTCTCCTCGACTCCCAGAATCTCCGGATTCCATAAGGTGATTTTGTCCCCACAAAATCGCGAAATAACACGCGTTTATGCAATACTTGACTGCCTCATGTGGTAAGCATCTACAAGGATAGATATTTTTTATTTTCGTCTCTCATGCACCGAAATCATCATACACAAGATGCATATAATGCTTAGTACTTGGACGGGTCTTTAGCGTCTTCAATATCCTTGTACAAAGAATCCCATATTCCCCACGGGTTCATATTGTGACAAGTGTAAAATATTGACACTTTTTTCAAGGATTGCACAACATTGAAAGTTTCGTCCTCATCTGGATCTTCATCTCCTTCTATTAAGTTCCTGTATTCATCGATGGCTTCTTTATACTTATTTACAATGGAATCAATCAACGTTGAGCGGGCCACGTCACACCTACAAATATTATCATACTCTTAATAATCTTGAAAGCAAAATTTTAATGAATGACACTAATTGATAAAAACGTTTAACATTTTACCTGGTGAAAATAGCATGTCCCTCTATGCACATGTGTTCCAAGGTTTTCGCAGCCGTATCCAAAACTTCGGTGTCGTGCATTTTCTCTACGATCCCATGAATTTTATTTAACAACGAATCCAAGTTCTGCTCTTGCCGAGATTTTGTATAAATATCCAAATCGAAGTATTGAGGTATTGCGAGTAAATTAGCAAGTTTCTCAGGATCAGCTCGATATTTATCAAGCAACAATGGTAACGTTTGTATAAAATGTTCCGTTAATCGTTGTTTATCGTCATGAGCTTGTTTCAATTCTTTCGCTGACAAGATCTTTCTAGTTGGTCCCCGCCCAACTGGAGCTTCGCCTGTGGCAGCTTGTTTTATACAACAAACCATTAATTCAATCAGAGACGTCTCCTTTTGATTATCCAAAGCTTCCTCGTCAGGTCCGGCCTCCTCCAATAGTAAATCTGTCATACATTCCCAATCTTTCATCATCTGATTCGTTTCGATTAAGGAATCTACCAAATACGCCCCGTGTTCATGAAGCTCCGATTCAATGAAAAATAGTACAAGATCTCGAATGAGCGGAGTATTTGGTAAACGTTTCTTTCCACGTTTGGTCTTTACACCTGCCACGGCCGCATCGTCTGGACGAAACAAACGTTCGTTTAAGAATTCACCGGCAGCTTGCGCGACAGCACGATGAGACGAATAAACGAGTTCGTATACGTTCTCGCAATCTTTGTCAGTAAGAATCTCTCTGTGATGCTTCAAAATCGAGATAACCAGTTTAACAGCTTGTACTGCCACATCGTATTCCTTGTCCAATGTCATCGCGACAATTCTATCTTTGAATTTACTTGTAAAAAGTTCGAGTTTAGTCTTCAATTCTTCCGATGCGTACAGTGGTTGCAATGCTTGAAGACATTTCAGTCGGACTTCTCCGACCTTATCGTGTAACGTCCAACCTGAGGAATCGCAAGAAATTCATTCAAACATGCAGACATAATTTGTAATACTAATAATATGATATATGATTATATTCACCTATGTATTTTAAGTAAGAATCGTCCAAAAAGTTTTGATGAAATTTCTTCATCCAGACCCCTATTTCTGCCATACATATTGCGCGTATTTCTGGCAACGTATCTCTATAGCGATGTACGAATACAGACTTGAACATGTATGTAAGCATATTTCTTATTTCGTCCATATTTTCTTCAAGTTCTTTTCGTTTTGCCATTAACGATTCTAATCTATCGGCGGCTCGTTTTTCCCTAGCCTTCTGTCTTTCAGCTTCATACTGTCGTTGCGTGTTATCCAAATTTATTGATACAGTTAAAGCAACATCTACCAAAGCTGTCATAAGTTTCATAGCTAAAAGAAAATGCAAATCTACACGTTAATATTTGAAATGCATACATTTAATTAAATGCGCTATTTGTAAAAACTTGTCTCACCTGCGAGCGTAGCTGTGTGCCTAAAAGCTCTCACTTGCGAATCAGAAAGTCCAGTTAACAACGAGATAACATTATCCATTAAGAATTGATCATAAATTATTGAATATTGACATTGTCTGACTAAGATCTGAACGAATTCACAAAAATTCGCACGAAATTTCTTCCACTGTTGACCAGTCATTATCAATGGATACTCTCCGCTTTCCTGTGTAACAAATCATTGTTAATTAAACGGATAAGCATGAGACTATTTTTGCAAAATGCAATGTTGACATACTTCGTCGAATTCCTCGGTCATTTTACGGATTATTGCCACATGTTCCATCGTCGATTGCATCTCAGATGTGATGCGGCCTTTGCAACCACTTGCGTTAATAAAAAACTGCATTAACATAAGAAGAGCATTTTCTCTATTACTTTTGTACTTCTCTATCCAATCATCAACGATGGTCTAAAAACATAAAGACAATATAAATAGTTCTGAAAATGATCGCGCTTTTAAGAATACTATTTATAATATACTTTTATCAACTATTTTTTTCTAAGTATATCGACGTACAGTTAGCGAGGAACGATTGTTCCTAATGACGTAATACAGGCTAGCCTCATCTTCTAAACTGTGCGGATGATGTGTTCGCCTTCCACGTCCACGTCCGCCACCTCTACCCCTACTATTCGTTGATGGAATGTAATCTGTATCTATTTCCTTATACTTTGGTTGTTGCACTTGTCCTCCTTCATGATAATGATTTACATAATTATTTAAAAATGAATTAATATCATCATAAATTAATATTATCTTTCATCGTACCACGTAATCTAGCACGTGCATTTCTTGTGATCCTCATATTGGTCGGAGTTGCTGGTGTCATAGGTTGTTCGAATTGTGACTGATTTTCAAAATTTCCCTGTTCTTGATATTGTTGTGATGCACTTGGGGAGCTATAACTCTCAGATGAATAATGTTCTGGGCTAAAGAAATATGTAGATATAAAATATAGTTTAACTCATTGTTCAAGTATGTTATATAAATTCTCTTGCAATTTGCAGAAATTTAACTGCATGTTAATAAGGTAAGTAACGTTAGGTATTGATTCAACAAGAATAGCTAAAAATGACATTTACGTTGGATTATGTATTGGTGTTTGTGGTGCTTGACTATATGGTGTATAACTAGGATATTCATTTGCATCTCCTCCTGAATTATCATTCATAGGAGTCATTGGTGTCATTGGTGCATCATATTCCGGAGGCACAGGATCATCCATACGTATTCGTTTACCTCCTCTTCTGTGCATCATTTTGTGGTTGTTCTTCTATTACTATAACTAAAAGAATGACGCTATATCAAGTTCTTTCCTAAAGAAATCAGGTTGCAATCTCTGATAGAGCTTATTGAACAACATTTTATACATTTTGTAAACAAACACTTTGATTAATTTCAAACCTGTAGAAAGGTTCCCAACAACAATAGCGTGGATTGACCACGGTGCCTTATGTTAATATCACTTGTCGATACATTTAATCATATATTAACTACTTTCAATAAAACTGGAACAGCGTATTAACGGATTCTTTCAAATAACCCTTTTTGTGAATAGTTTCCTCTTACAGTAAATAAGTATAAACGCGCGCCAGTATTATACACCTGCATTTTTCTGTTTATATCAATTTATGTGCATCACAGATGGCGCTATAACTGGAAACGATCGAATTGATTGAGATTGGGAAGGTTCATTTTATTTATGTGTCTGAGTATTTACAAAATGATTAATGTTAAATTAATAATTAAGCGGATAACATATTTCCAACTACAGATATGTTTAAGTATAAACTGTGCATTCTGGATGCGGCAATGCATTGGGCTCCGCCACTGCAACTCGATGCTTCTATATAGCAATTTGAATTTTATGGCTCACGCACATATATGTATGCATGGATTACATACCACCATCAAGGAGAGATATGTATGTATCTAAACGAGTGTGTACGTTAATTTCTAACCTAAATAACATCGAATATTCGTGTTATTCGAGATGCATGTAACATACAGTTTTGATAAACTTCTAAAATTATTTACAACTATTGAATGAGATCATGTAATGGAATGGTATTGCGTAGTTTCATATTTATTTAACATACCGTTGCATAAACATATAGAGTAAAATTGATAGCAATGATGTAACGTCAAAATGAAATGTTTCATATCAAAACACAAAGCTAACAAACACTTATAGCAAAACATAAGTAAAGTTTTTTAATGCCGATAAATAATGTTCACATAATATTACAATGATATATTGATTTTCTTAAATTATTATAAGATGCAACGAAAAGTGGTCTATTAACGAATGGATTTAGATAAAAGGTGATAAACACGTCAATATGTGCGAAGACGTTCACGTGAAAGAACAATGGCAACTTTTGCAAAATCTTCGAACCACTGTAGAAGGTCTACTGGTCGATGGTGTTTTAAATGTATGGAATGTTTACGGTGGTTTAAATCGTCTTCATAATGTCATGGAGCGAATTTTCAAACATGGCTGTCGAATATACAATCGAAATGTAAGATATTTAATTACGTTCCTTATTCTGATTCTTCTCACTATTTTTGTTCTATACCAGCTTATCATTTTTTTCATGCAATATTTACATCGAAGCACTTGATGTTATTTTGTTCTTTTTTTAAAAAATTTCAAATTTGTTAAAACACAGTATTATATTATTCTGTTACGTTCGACAGTGATATTAGTTCTTGTCATTTCCAATGAAAATATTTCATTGTTTACTCTTGTTATAGTTAGAAATGTATTTCTGTATTACTGACATAAACATAGAGGAACATAATGTTGATATTGGAAAAAATAAAAAATAATGAAATTTATTACAAGGGAGAGCCAGACTGTTGGGTCTTTATACAAGGATTAAATTGGCTACAACCTTCTTTAGCATTGTCACCTGTCGTCTCTGAGACAGAGGATTACCTTTCAAATTTACCAGCTAGAATAACATCGCATAAGGACATGTTATGGTTATATAAAAGGTAACCAGAAACGAATAATGTGATTTTTTAATATCAGCATTAACATATAGTCCTTTAATTTACTTTACATAACACTTTAATAATTATTGTAATATAGTTTGGAAAGTCATTCTTTGTCGCAGAAGCTTTCATGGCTTTTGTCTGACAAAGAACATTTACTTTCTTCTTTTGAACCATGGGCATTTTTATGTCAAGAAAACTTAGCTGA